AAGGAATGATTTACAGTGTACCGGTTCGTTGTATGTTCGAGACGTACAACAGATTATCTTTTATTATCGTTTGGATACCAAATACAGTGAAGATATGTTCAAATAATTCGAATTACAATAGAATGACTTCCAGGGTAAAGCCGGTAGAATAATGAGATTTTGTAAGGATTAATAGATTGGGAGATAGATGAAGAGCGCTTGTGTGAACCTGAGTGTCGACAGATGGGTTTTTGGCAAATCTGAGGATTCCTTATGTTTATATAAGGAGTGTGTAAGGAGAAAAGAAAGAAGCGTGATGCTTAGCAGATATCTAGAGATAAACATGTTTATAAGATTAGATATCGCTACAGTATGCCTATCCATGTTCAACATCAGACAAAGCTCCTTTAACGATTTAAAGATTAGATAGCTGACTCATGACCTTAGGCATGAGAGAGAAAAAACAAATGTAGATGCAAACTATTTGAATGAATAATTCCATGATACAACTATTTCGGTTTTTACGACACTCGCGACTGCGAAAACATCTTAGGTTTGGGGGATGTAATTAAAAAGTATCTATTTGGTTTGATTGTTTAATAAATGTGTTTTGGTTTTGTTGAGTTTTTAGTGAAACAGCTAATTCAATTTCAGTCGGGTTTGTCGTTCGATTTGAACGTTCAATAAAGGCAGATGAAATATGGAACCGAACAATTCTAATTTCACTTTAATGATAATTATTACCAAACAAATTATAAAAACGCAAACACCAGAAATGATGAGTCTCCAATATATCACAAAGTTGTTCAGTTCTTCTTGTATTAGTTCGGTCATTTTGTTGACTCCATCTTCTATTTGTTCTGATAGTTCGATGCTTTCTTGGTTGATCTCTTTCCAGATATTCCACTCTGCCCGTTTGGCTTGATAATTGCTGTAGATCCTTTGTTGTGATAAGATTTCCAGCTCAGCATTTATTCTTTTAATTTCAAAGTGATCGATGATACCACTGGTAAATTTTATTGATTTCAATTCGGTTTTGTTCGATTTGCAAGGTGCGATTTGGAGACTTTCATTGATATGTTTTGCGATTACGTCGTTCCTTTGTAGCATTAGGTTAACTGCTACAATAGGATTATCATGCGATATCCACTCAATAAGTGTTAGTAAGTTATTACGATTACGACAACTAATTTGATAGATTTCATTAAATTGTTGCTGAAATTGTTCTTGAAGAATATTATTGAGATATTGAAGTTTGGTAGTTTCCGGATCAGTTTCCTCTTCTTCGTTGTATTCTATCATGAGTAATTTTTTATAGGTTGAATTTACTTGATTTGTAATTTGGTAAAGATTTATTTTATTTATTTTGTCGATTATAATATTGTTGTCCATTGTGATAGGATTGATAAAGTCGCAGTTTCTTGAATCAATTCTTTAGTTATATTTAAATGTAAATGCCATTTGAAATTCATCGACGATGATGTGAGTATCATAAACTCGTGCTCTGTAATATCCAATTTTTCGATATAAGCACTTACTCTTAGCGTCTGTTTTATTCCATAAGATAATACTTGTATTAGTTGTGGATTTTTCACTTTGCGTGAGACAATGTTGGATAGTATCGAGATCCGATACTGTTTCCTTTCCATCATAGATGAATATTTCTCCCTTTTGTAGTAGGAAGTTTGTTGTTGATTGGCATCGAATTCCAAACCATCCATAAGAATATTGCACATTATTTATAGTTCTCCATTGATTTGGAGATATCTGTTGAAAATTCCTTCCGTTTATCCTTTTTTATCAAGTGCTCTACAAAAGTGTGAGGTAACCGCCGAAATGATAGTTTGGTCTGATTCCACAGATGGAGAAATTCTTAGGAAAGCTTTAGTGCATACCGTGCGGGTTATATTACTGCATTTGAGTGCTGTATCCTCACACGAGTTTTTGTATAAATCACTATCTCGTTTATTGTGAAGTTTGCAGTGAATGGATTATCGCAATTCCACTTCTGTGGAAAGGTTAAATGGTATTCCAGAAATCCGTTTACAATTTTCAGTGGAAAAAATTGCTAAAAACAATAATAAAATGGTACCAATTAATAATAAATTTTCCATTGTAGTACCTGATTTACTAAGTTCTCGTTCTCTTAGTGCTCTTCTAGTTCGGAGAGCGATCGGTTCTTCGTTTGGTTTATCCTTTGCTATTCGGATTTTTTCACTATCCTCTTCTTTACTTCAAGGAGATAAAGTAAATTAACTGGTCGTTTGAGTTTTTCATTAGGGGTTTGCACTAATACACTCCTAACTCTTCCATCCTTTCCAATATTGAGCTCTTGAATCTTTACTAACTTCCACATACCTCTTGGTAGTCCGGGTTCATTTAGCAATACTATTTCGCCACGCCACGGATTGCGATTTTCCATTCTTTTGAGAGATATTTTTCTTTTTGGGTACGTTCTCTAAGATTACTCAGGCATTCGTTTTTCCAGATTTTCCAAAATACGTCTAATGTTTTGAGAGTGTTAGACCAATACTTAACTAATTTTTTTTAGTATTTAGTGGGTGAATTGTGAATTCATGTTGTATACTATTTTCATTTGTTGGTATATCTAATGGAACATATGGTGAAATGAAATCAATAGGCCTTATAACTTTGTAACCATCAAAATTTAAGTAAGTTAATGGTCGGGTATTAAGTATTCCTTCAATTTCTACTGTTAGTGTGATGAATTCTCTTTCCCATAAAAGTTTTCTATCTATTATCTTTTTGAGCGCTCCTTTCGTTAGTCCAATCATTCTTTCATAAACTCCTCCGCTCCATGGTGCTTTGGGTATAATATTTTTCCATATCAATCCTTTTGAAGCGAAAAAATATTTGTTTTGATCCATGATAGTTCTAAATACAAGTTGGAATTGACTAGCACTGTCGCTTAGAACCAGTTTAGGATATCCTCGTCGCGATACAAATCTACGGAATATATGCATGAATATTTCAGCCGATAAGTTTTCTACCGGTTTCAAGTGAACTGCTCTTGTAGTAAAGCAGGTGAACAGAGCTATCCACCTTTTGACTATTCCAGTGTCATTCTTAATTGAAAGTGCTCCCAAATAATCAAGACCGACCTGTTCAAAGACTCTTGATTTTCCGACACGAGACTCTGGTAGATTTGGCATTGACGGTAGTTTGAATGGCTTTGCTTTCCATCGTTTACATGCCACGCATTCATTTACGATTCGTTTTACTGCAGATCTACCGCTTGGTATCCAAAACTTTTATCTTAATTCACACAGTGTGTGTCCAATTCCTGCATGATAAAGCTCTTCATGCTTATGCTTGATGATAAGTTTGATAATGCGATTGCGATTTGGCAGATAAATAGGAAATTTACCTTCCATATTTAAATCTGCATTTTCTAGACGACTCTTTGATCGCCATAAATCGTACAAATAGGAAATTTACCTTCCATATTTAAATCTGCATTTTCTAGACGACTCTTTGATCGCCATAAGTCGTCAGTTTTGTCGAAGTATAAATTCCAAATGTTTATTTGTTGCTCGTTTATTTCATCAAATTGTGCTTGTTTGATCAGTCCATTTGCTAAAACGACTTGCATCTATGAAGTGAAAATTCTTTGATTGAATAATTCGTTTCATTTTTGTAATCGTTGCCATAATAGCTATATTGAATTCATCTTCCCCTGCATAACTGAATTTCCATTGCGATCATTTAGTTTTATCTCTGTTAGCCAATTTGGGCCTTTCCACCATGATTCACAATTTCGAAGTTTAGCTGGTGACATTCCTCTGGTTGCCACGTCTACGGAATTGTCCTCACTCTATTTTGAACAAATCGAGGAAGTAGTTTAGAATAATTTTTGATCCAAAATAAAGCACATTTTGAGTCCGACCATAGGGTTACCGATGTATCGTTTAATTCTAATTGTTTTAATACAAAATGTGCGGCTCTTACTCCAATTAATACTGATAGCAATTCGAGTCTTGGTATAGATATTCCTTTAATTGGAGCTATCCGGGATTTGGCATATATTAGAAATGAAGTTCCTTTCGTAGTTGTATTTCTTGTATTGAGGATATACACTACAGCAGCATATGCAAATTTACATGCATCAGTAAATACGTGAATCTCCAGTTGATTTGCAGGATTTATTACGAATTTCGGTAAATCAATTATATTAGACGGCCATTTTTTTATCATCTTGTACCATTGCTGTTCATCTTCTTGGGTTAAGAGTTGATCCTAAGCTATGTTCTGCCTCCATAAATACTGGAGAAATAGTTTGAATGAGATCATCGATGGTGTTAGAAACCCTAATGGGTCATATTGCGAGGCGACGAATTGTAAAATAGTTCTCTTAGTGATTTCTTTTCCGGTCCATGGTTTTAGTGTTATACGAATGACACTTAAATCATGGATCCAATTAATTCTAAGAAAATTGTTCTTTATAGCCTTTGGTTTATCATAGTCGGCTATTTTTTCATTAAATTCTTCATCATAAGAAAGGAATTCTTTCATCTTCATCGAGGTTTCACTGAAGATAATTTTTGCCTCCTCATATTTGATTAGAGCTTCAATTCCATTTGCCGATAATGTAATGTTGTCCACATATTTTTTCATATTTCAGAGGCTGTCTTATTACCATAAGTCTCCAGATGATAGTTTAGTGTAGCTGATAATAAGAAAGGTGATGAGATAGCTCCGAAAGGAACTCTTTTAAATCTATAACATTTTATGTTCTATTCGGTAACATTTTTAGGAATATCTTGCAGCCAAAGAAATTTATTAGAATCTCTATCCATCTCTATCCTCCGGATATAATTCTATCTGTAAAAATGCCTTTTCAGTACCGGCAATTATTACTATTTCCATCATCCGGAATCTTAATAGTATTCCAACTAAGTCTGGTAGCAAGACTGGGCCTCTATATAAAACTTCGCTCAAACTTTTCTTTCCATGAAGGTGTGCTGAAGCATCATACACTATTTTTAGTTTCGTAGTATTTTTGTTAGGAGTTAATACTCCATGATGTGGTAAGTAGTGTATGACGCCCATCATTTCATTGGTTTCTGCGTCCTCGATTATATCCAGTTGTTTCTGTTCTTCGATTATATTATTATATGGGCTAAGAATTGATTCTTGTTGCAACCGCTTGACCAAATTTTTTAGACGTCCTAGGCATAGTCCAAAGTTGTTACTCAACTTATCCTTCGATTCTTTCCATGGCCGTCTTACTTGATATCTGTTATTATATTTCGTTATAGATTTCTTAAATTGCTTCAGTGCCTCTTCATCGTCAACGGCATTAGGTCCTTCTTGTATTCCCATGACTTCTAGTTTCCAGAAATTTTCTATTTCTGATCCTATGGTTAAAGTGGATATTGTGTTGGAAATATGTGTCGTACTTTTTTCACACAATTGGTTTATATCGCCATTTCCCGCAATCATTGGTCCAACCTTTGTGTGAAGTAGTGAGAATTCTGATTTTAGTTTTTCGATTCTTTCCAATTCCACAAATTTGAAGAAATGATCTGCTCCGATTAAGATGTCAGGTCGTTTCCAATAATTTTTTAGTCTCATTGTGTGGTTGGCTATTGGTATTTTGACAACATGTAATTCATTAGTTAAATATTCGATTACACTGGCGCGTAATTGGATAGTCTCATCTGCATCTATTTTTACATTAAGTTGAGTTTGAGTGATTATGCGTGGCTTAGGATTTTTAATGCCGAAAGGAGCTAATCTTAATTCTTGTTCATCAGTTTCTATTAAGTCTAGTCGTTGAACTAGTTCCTTTGATATGAACGATAACTGTGACCCAATATCAAATAATGCCAAGGCTTCTTTCTTTCGTTCTGGCAATAATGGGTTAAATACAGTTATTTCCTTACATAATAACAGAGTTTCTTTATTTTGTTTTTTCGTTATCGAATTAGTTTGAGCGACCATTGTCGGATTGTAGCTAGTCGAATAATCTTCCGATTTGCTGATTTCTTCATTTGTTTGGCTCATGTTGAGACTTGAAGTTT